TTTTAATGAATTTATGTTAACACTTTAAGGATGTATAATAAGCAAAATATTAAATTATTTAGTTATACTATATCTTACGTTTTTCCTCGAATATCAACATAATCTCCAACCCTAAAATGAGCAGCTGTCAAAGGAGTGCCTGGGTTCAGGGCAGCATTAGGTGTAACTAGGAACCTGCCCAATATACGTTTTGGCATGACACCTGAATTTTTAAATAATCCACAATATTCCTTGGTGAGTAATGTCGGGTCAACACTCTCACACCAACGAGTAATGCTCCATATTTGTTTGGGTTAACAATGGTTTTCTAGGTCTATGATTTTGATTTATTTCACCAGGTGGTATATACTTTATGACATGATTATCAACTATCTGAAATTAATATAGCAAATATTATATATATATATATATTATATATATATATAATAATAATAGTAATTAGATTTTTTGTTCGACTTTGAGACATATCTTGAATAATGATTTTCAGCCACTCATTGAAATAAAAGAAACAAATATAAATATTTATCTGGCTGAAAATCATTATTCAAGATTATATATATATATATATATATATATATATACACCTAAGTCTGTTTTTTACACGGAGATTGGTTCCAGAAGAATCCGTGTAAAAAAAAAACGTGTAAAAAAGACATTGATCTTATACAAAAATGGGTGATTTGTTCCTGATCTCTAAAACCTATTAAAATTGGTGAAAAACAAGAATTTTTAAGAACAAGAATTAAATTAGTGCTATTCACATTTGCTTTGACCAGTAAAAATTGTTTGTACGCGCTAAAGGGGAATTCACTTAAATCTTTAAGCTAGTGTTCGCAAACTATCGATACTATCGATGGTTTCAGACTTTTTTCTTTCATAAATACTTTTTTGTGATATAAACATACTTCGCAAAAATTTAATTTGACAAAAAATTTAGGTACATAAAACTTCAAATCGTGCTAAATGGAATAAATTCGTGTAAAAAAATTAAAAATATTCAATTTTCAAACCGTGTTATATCAAAACCGTGTACAAAAAGACCGTGTAAAACAGACTTAGGTGTATATGGGTGTTATACAAATATTTTGTTATATAATAAATTATATGAAGCAGTAAGTTGCAATTATGAAATAAACTATGTAATTGATTCTAGCTCATGTCAACTAACTCTTATTTAAATTAAATGAATAGAAATAATAGTTACTTGTAATAGAGTAGTATATATTTTAGATCCATCTTTAAACCACAATGGATAAACTCCTATTTTCCTCGCAATTACTCCGCTTCTAACAGACCGAGGTGTCCATTCAGTTTTTGGCAATTGTAACTCTTCCTTCAAAATTCCTCCACTTTTTGCATAGGTTTGAAAGCCACCAATAACAACAGGTTCTCCATACTTATCGTGAACTATATCTTTGACAAAACTTTCATTTTCTTTTGTGAGAAATTCATTCATCAACTGTAAATAGTTTTGATAATATTAGGTTGAATAATGAGTAGGAATATCAGTTAAAAGATATTTACAGTTCTTTCTTTTCGAACAAACCATATAGGATTTCTCAAAACTGGTCGTTTCCCAGTTGTTTTCGACCTCTATTTGGTATGGTAATTGGATCTGTAATACTATTAAAATTAACTAATCAGTGAAAGTAATGTCAGATATATTTCAAAACTTAGTTTAATTACTATATTTAAATGTTATTTCATAATTGAAAAATGGTATACCTGAGCCTTAAAAACTGTTCTTTAAAGCATTTAAATTGTCAAGAGCAGTTCTTGCTAAACAGTGAGCCATAATTAATATTTTATAAACATATAACAAGGTTATAACATTGTGAATTAAGTAAATATATATAAATGATATTGCTCAAATTTATTTAAGAAATCTAACAATGGTTTTGAGGTTAGGTATTAAAATAATATGACGGCACAGTGCAGCATAGCCAACATTAGAATAATTGTTATATAATCTGAGAAATATATTTTTTATAAATTGAAATCATTTCAATATAGTATTTTAATGTCTATCACATTTAATATTTAAAGCGTTAAGAATTATTTTAATTAAGTTATATATCTATTTAATTTCGAAAATTACCGCGTAAAGTTTGACATTTTCGCAACAACTTCACACCGATACAGTAAGACCAATGCGTAGAATTGAAACGTCAAAAACAACTGTAGACTTTGATGTTTATGTTGGTTAATTTGTTTATTCTGCAAAAAGCATTGAACAGTGTTTAGTGTTCATGCTATAATAAAGTAATAAATATATTTAGTTACCTTGTTAATTCAATTTTGCTAGTTGTTATAAAATATTATCCATTTTACCATTGTGCGAACCTTCATAACCCAACATCGAATCATCTTTATTTTGGCACGCGATAATTATGGTGATTTATACAAGTGTCTTTTAACTGTTATGTAACGAGGGTAAATAAAAATTTAGTGTCTTTATTATCCAGACATAGTTATTGTAATGGTGTAGTGAGAAACAGTAAAGTAGAAAAGTGCACCAAACATGTTATTAAAGTGTTCTTCCGCAGAAAAGCGGCATGCCCCAGGCAAAGGCAAGCCTGCACGTGGAACCGGTGAGTACAATTTTTAATAACTTTCGCCATTGTGTCATGCGACATAACCTTAAAATTTCATGTATACATGCTCGGTCTTCATGCAATCACATTGAAAATTGATAATAACACTTGTTTCGAGTTATTTGAGGTCATGTTTTGTGACCCCTATGATAGATTTTCAATGCTTGCTTGTGTCAGGAAATAACAACTTTAAGTAACATGACGTCATTTTCGATGGATTCATTTTTGTATACACGCCGCTTATAGTCGGCATTATGACAAGGATTCTCGGAAATATGCAAATGAATCAATTCTCAATCATATTGCAATAGATAGTATACATTTATAACAAAACAAATGGTTGTCATACGATTCTATTAATTCATTTTGCTTTATACCTGGTATAAAATAACATTATTACCCTGTTTCGATGCTTCGATGGTAGAGAATGAAGTAGGCCTAAATATCCTCATCATTTTCAGTAGTTATTAGATAATAAATTTTGATAATTGAAATATTGATCGAGATATTCTTTGTTGTGAGTTTACAAAGATTTTTTCTTAAAAATTTATATTTCTCTTTGCATGGTATCAATCTTCAAATTCTTTTCATAAAATTTTTACATGCAGTAGCGTCTTGCCATTATTATTATTTTTATTTTTTTGATAATGATTTCTTTATTTCACATAAATGAATATTTACATTCTGTTTTACAATATTTTATACAGAAGTGTATTTATATAACTATTCTTCAAAAAATATTATTTTCTTTTTATTTCTTGAATTCCTCATCCTTGAAATTTCCTCAAAACCATGATATAAATTATATAAGATTCTTTGATTTATTTTGTATATCTATTTTGATAAGTTTATCGTCATCCTCAGTTACATCTATTTTCAAGATTTTTAATTTATTTTTCAACCAATCTCATATAATTTTCTTTTTACCACATTCAGTTAAATAGTGTACATTTTTTTACCACATTTTCCTCCTTATTGCATTTTTCACATTTCTCTGTGCTGCACATTTTTATTCTAAAAAGCTTCAAATAATTTGTTGTTTTCCATTCTGAAGGAATATTTTTGTTTTCTATATTAACTATTACAAATTTATAATTTGTGATTATTAACTTGACAAATTGTTGTATTAACTGTTTACATATTAATATTGTAGCAGTGGATTTGCGTTTCAAAGTTGATTTTACATTTGACCTTTTCTGCAATTTATTTATAATTCAGAATGAATATATATCTTGCATAGGATGGTTTTTATTACACTTCCAAATACTCTGAAGCGATATATATTTTAATTTTTTTATAAATATTTATTGTTCTCCGAAATATAGTAAAAAAAACTAGTGAATTTTATTTATTCGCATTGGCGCATTAACCCATATAAATAACTGATAATATTGAAATTATCTGTAACATTTCCTGTTGATTTTGGTTAAAAAAATATCTCTCTTAATGACCTTGACAAGGTAAGTTGGTGTGGAACCAACCTGGTTTAAATATGCCTCCAAGTTGTTAGCTAGTACTAAATGTAATATAGTTATATGATACCTAAGTACTTTTTGTACTAGGGGATATTTAAATACTAACTTAGATGGATATTTAAATTAGGTTCACACAAATTTACCTTGTCAAGGTCGTTACATCATATATAAGTAATTCGCAGTCGACCATTTATTGCAATATTCAAAGTTCAATAAAATTGATTCAAGATCAAATTTTAAAATGTACATTCTCAAATTTTAATCTCTCGTATGTTTATAAAATTTGCGTATGTCATTCGATTGCATAACTTGATACTTGATAAGAACTCACGTTTTATATCTGTATCAGGTAGTTATCTTAAACAATTAGCAATTAGCAATATGTGCGGAAATAATTATATGTGTTATCTCGTACGTAGGTTTTGGATAAACTTACTGCATTTAAAAATAAATTTTAACATTAAATTTATTAAAGCATAATGAATTTATTTCAATACATTCTTGTTTTGAATTCAGTGTTGACTTTTTCACGTATTAAATTGACTACATAATAGATTGTGTATTTAAACGATGTTAACACGATCGCATGACTATTAATATTTGTTGATGAATTGATGAAATCAATTACGTCTTTTAATTTTTGAAGATTAATTTTGTTCTTCTGAAAGGAATTTGTTGAATTTGGCAGTGAAATGACTTCCGATGAATAATATTTATGTAAATGGATTTTCTGTAAAGGAAATACTAGGATGTTTTAGCAAAGCAACCCTAAATTTACAAGATTTTTCTTTTTTTTTCCTTTTTTATTGGCCTGCCCTTCACAGCATTTTAGCCACCTACATTATTCATATTATTTTTCAGCATATTCTATACAATTCTTACATACATACATATATCATATATACTATCTCTCCTTCAACTCTTCCATTCAATTCGTCTTTCATCTGATTTTCCTTCTTCTTCTTGTTTTCTCAATATGTTCTTTTCATCTTCTAAATTAAACTTTTCATTTTCCTTTTTACTTCTAACATAATTTTTTCTTGTGTTCTACAAATTAACAATTTTAATCTAATTTAATATTTTATACTTTAATTCTGGTATTGCTGGAGATTCGAACCGAATTCCTCCAGCGTGTGAGTCGATAACGCTACTGAATGAGCTATTTTCGCATCTATAATTAAAATTTTAATTATATTTTTTTTCCAAATTGATCAAATCCATATAGTTTCAGGATCACAACTAAACGAGAGATCAAATTCGTTTTAATATATTCCATCAATTTCATGAAATTTTATTCAATCTCACTTCTCTTAATTGAGATACTAATGTATATGTTTTTAAGATCCCCGTTTGTTTTTGAGTTAGAGCGTTTTTGTCTAAATAATTAATTTTTTTATATATATTTTTAACAGCAATCAGAACCTTACGTCCTGTGAGCTGTTTGGCTGAAACTTTTCTTTTCGTATTTTTTAGATGGTAACCCAATGGTTAATCCATCCATATTTGAGGATTTTTGTTATTAAAATTAATCTAATAGGGCTGACTTTTTTTTATTGGTGCAGCAATGCCGGGCAAGGGCTATTTTCACTTGGAAACATATTGCTATCTATATTTCCAAGTGAAAATCGTTGTCATTGCTGCCTGACAACAGGTTGATCGAAGTGGGTATCGAATCCGGGACCCCTGATCCAGGAAAAATAATGAATTCTTGAAAAATTGTTTTTCTTTTCAAATTGATCAAATCTATATAGTTGTTTTCAAATTGTTCAAACCCCTACTATCCCCTATATCAATTTTGTTGTATCATATGTTTAAATTTTTGAAACTTTATTCAATCCAATTAGAATCATTTGAGAATCTAATTTATGTATTTTTGAAGTGCTCATTGGTTTTTGATGAACGGCATTTTTGTCTAAATAACGAATACTTGATAAATTGTTTATTTTTCAAATTGATCAAATCTATATACATTCAGAATCAAAATCAAACTTATCTCTCAAATTCATTGTATCATATTTGATCAATTTTTGAAAATTTATTCTATTTAATTAGAATCATTTGAGAATTTAATTTGTGTATTTTTGAAGTGCCTGTTTGTTTTTGATGAGGAGCATTTTTCTTTAAATAATGAATACTTGACAAATTGCTTTTTTTCAAAATGATCAAATCCATATATAGGATCAAAATCAAACTTATCTCTCAAATCTCAAATAATCATTAACAATGAACTTCTTAAAATTTCTTTTAAGTTTTTTTAAATGCCTGTTTGCCGGTGCCTTCATTTATTCGCGTTATTGATTTTTAAGGATTTTTGGACCCCTTTTTACCACTTGGTGGTACGTGGTGATATTTAAAATCATGGCGAGCCGCTCCTGCCTTGAATGCGATGCATGCGAAAAATGGGGGCGCACGCTTTAGGGGGCGCCAAAATCAGGTTTCGAATTAAAGTTTATAATATATTATTTATACTTTTTAAATATAAAATCGAGAATACTCAATAGATTATAATAAACAATATAACTGGATACAGAGACACAAAACGTTGGCAATGTGATATCAGTAGAAACAATTAACCGATTAATAATTCTGCAAATTAGTCAATTATTTATTAGTAAAAAACTAGATGTGATCTTACTAACCCATGCCAATATTTAGGTATTTTTATAATTTACTTTTAAATCCCTTTGATCACTTACTTAATCACTTTGATCGAACAAATTTAATTAATAAGACTAATTATTGATTGTGTATTTGAATTGTTTTTTATGCTCAGTTCCGTTTCATGCAAACAGTTTTCAGACCCATCATAATTATACCAACAATCCTTTACAATTTTAGTTTTTTTTATACAGCTCGTACTTAATCTGGTAAAACAATTTAATTTTTATCAATATGATAAAAATCCAATTTGGAGATACCAAGTTCAATACTTGTCTCACGATTTTTTTTTTATAAATATCAATTGCAAAAGACGCAATAGATGTATCACAATTGTAGGTGTGTTGGTGGCCCCTATAACCGTGGTACTCAGAAATCCATATGACGCAAATGCTTCATACTATAATATTGATTTAGCATGCAATTGCGCTAATTCGCCTGCAGACTTTTTATATAGTTGTTCGCTATATATATAATGTATTGGCATCTGATAAAATCTTGTTTGATGGTACTTAGAACACTGCATGCAAATCAGTCACTTGGCTTTGTTTTTGTTGAGAAGTATATGAATGAATGCATTTTTATGCAGACTTCGACCTAGAGCAGTGGTTGTCAGACTTTCCAACCAACCATGAAAATACTATTTTCATTATATAATAAAAATTTGTTTCAAGCATTCTCATTATTATACAAAGTATGATTTGATTTTACCACCTTTGAATTACATTGTTTATTCACTATTAATTAATTAGTAACTTCCCGTAGAGTAGTTATAGTAATGAGCCGAAAATCAAAAATGAAAATTTTTGCATTTCTCGACGTTTTGAAGGTTTCTGAATATTTTGGCATACCTCAGAAAAAATG